CAGTTTTCATAAAACCCTTCAGCTTCTTCACAAGAGATACGGAAATCTTGATTCAGTTCATTAGTATCCACTTTCAGAATATCTATCACAGTCCTTTGCATAATTTCCTGAACTTTACAGTCCTTTCACAGAGAGTTTATGTTGTATAAGATTCTTTATATTGAAATTATATAACTTGAAGGATATCTGCATTTGTTTTTGGAAACAGTTCATCGATAGTAGTTTTATAAATAGTCATGTTGGGGGTGGGTGAGAACTCAAGGGGAAGAGACTGAAAACTTGAAGAAGAAAGATTCATTTATGGGTTTGTCTTGTGAAGGATTTTCCTCCCTCACTCCCATAAAAGTGGTTTGGAAATAACATTAGGTTTAGTATGCCAATAACCATTTGTTGAATCTAGGTGATGCTTTTTTATGAGAGATTCATTTACTTTAGCCACTCAGACTACAGGAATCAGTGGGATTTTAATTTTTAAACTTTAAAAGGGGAAAAAACATTTTTTCCTTGAATCAAGGGGGGGGAACATGTGTACCTCACGTAGTCTGAAGTTGGTGTTAAAAGGTTTTATGGTGTTTACTGGAATAAACATCCCCATCCTGTTTCTAGTGCTTGATGTGTCTCTCCTACCACTTCAAAGTCATGTTTGTTGTCTCCTTGTCAGGCATGTGTGTTTTAAATGTCTTAATGCTCCGTCATAGTCTAGTGCAGGGGTTAGCAAACTATGGCCTGTGGGCCAACTCCTAAGAATGGTTTTTACATTTTCAGTAGTTGAAAAAAGTCAAAAGGGAAATATTTTGGGACACATGAAATCCAAGTTTCAGTATCCATAAACAAAGTGCAATTTGTCTCATTTATCGGTTTTTGTTTATTTTTTTTAATGCCACCTCATCATTTACATATTGTCTGCGGCTGTTTTTGTGCTACAGTGGCCTTGTCAAGTAAATGAAAGACTGTATAAGCCCATAAGCCTACAATATTTACATTTTGGCCTGTTACATAAAAAGTTTGCCCACCACGAATCAAAAAAACAGAAAATAGCAAATGTTGGAGAGGTTGCAGGGAGATTGGAACTCTTATGCACTGGTAAGAATGTAAAATGGTACAACCACTATGGAAAATGATATGGCATCTCCTTAAAAAGCTAGAAATAGAAATACCATCCAATCCAGCAATCCCACTCCTAGGAATATATCCTAGGGAAATAAGAGGCGTCACACGAATAGACATGTTCTGTGAGTGTGCATAACCCATGTTCACTGCAGCATTATTCACAACAGCAATAGAAACAATGTAAATGCACATCAACAGATGAATGGATAAACAGATTATGGTACATATACACGATGGAATAGTACGCAGCAATGAAGAACAGTGATGAATCTGCCAAACATTTCACAACATGGATGAATGCTGAGTGAAATAAGTCAATTACAAAAGGACAAATATTGTATGAGACCACTATTATAACTATTAACTTTGATGAAAGGAAAGACAACACACAATATAGGGGAAATCAGCACAACTTAACCAGGGCAAAGTCATAGAACCTTCCTAAACACATCCAGACACCTTGAAGGACCAAGTTACTGGGTCTGAGTACTAGGGACCATAGTCTCAGGGGACATCTAGCTCAGTTGCGAAAACATAGTTTTTAAAGAAAATATTCTACATCCTACTTTGGTAGGTAGTATCTGGGGTCTTAAAAACTTGCAGGTGGCCGTCCAGGATACATCTATTGCTCCCATCTTTTCTGGAGCGAAGGAGAATGAAGAAAACCGGAGACACAAGGAAGCAAATAGTTCACAGGACTAATGGACCACATAAACCACAACCTTCACCAGCCTAAGCCCAGAAGAACTAGATGGTATCTGGCTACCATCACTGACCACTCTGACAGGGATCACAGTAGAGGGCCTGGACAGAGCGGGAGAAAAATGTAGAACAAAATTTAGATTCGGAAAGAAAGACTATACCTACTGGTCTGGCAGAGACTGTAGAAACCCCTGAGACTATGGCACCCGGACACCCTACTAACTCAGAACTGAAGCCACTCCAGAAGTCCACCTTTCAGCCAAAGTTTAGACAGGCCTGTAAAACAAACAGTAACACACATGAGGAACGTGCTTCTTAGTTCAGTCAAGTATAAGAGATCAAATGGGCAGCACCTGCCCAAAAGCAAAGACTGGAAGGTAGGAAGGGACAGGAAAACTGGACAAATGCACACGAGAGATCCGGGGGGAAAGGGAAGGGGAGAGAAAGCTGACACAATGTGGGGATTGCAACCGATGTCACCAAACAACTTGTGAATAAATTTTTGAATGAGAAACAGATTTGCACTGTAAACCTTCACCTAAAGCACAATAAAATTAAAAAAGAAAAAAAGTTTGCCCACTGCTGGTCTAATGTATCCTTTATTCCTACCTTCTTTCAGTGTACACACAGAGTCTGTCTGTGGGGGTATATGTAAAACGCAAGCATCTGTACTCTTTGCAGCTGCTGAGGCTAATACTGCTGTGCCTCACCTCTCAGTTTGCTGGGAGAGAAGTAGGACCGGGTGGGATAGATATTGACACGTGAATGTTCAAGTGGGATATCAGCCTTGGAGAGGGAGACGAAAAATCAATGATACAAGGTCAGGATGGAGGAGGAAGAAACCCCTTTAGCAGTTCAATCCACCCTATTCTACGTGACCTGTGTCAGCTTTAAGGAAATGGAGGGAAAGAAACGGGTACCCTCGTTTAGTATACTTCATGATTCTGAAATGGAAATTAATTCAGGAAAAAATAAGTATGAGCATAGTTTACCCTTTGCATTTAAAACTTGTAAACTATTCTTGCCATGAAGTTGATTAACATGGAATTTTCCAGAAATACATCTTTTACTTAGATTGAAATACATACACCTTTATGTGTAATGATTCTGAAGCTAAGGAGCAAGGAAAAAATCACTTTAAAAGCTCTTCTTGCTATGTTATGGACTGTGTGGACACAGATATGCAGATCTGACATTAATTATTGAGTCTGGAGGTTTGCTAGGCATGAAATCTGCCTTCTGATGGAACAAGGTCTTTCTTTACCCTCTTAATCCTTTTTGCATGGAAGCAGTAATGTGTATTTCATTTTGGGCTGTTCTTTAGGTAAGGGCTTTAATTCTCTATATCGTATCCCAAGTGGATACATTGGAGTTTTTGTTTTTGTAGAGGAAAGAAAGGGTAGGGGAAGTGATGGGGCTGGGGATATTCTCCAAGATTGTCTGTAACCAGTTGCTTGTTGAGTTGACTCCGACTTACAATGACCCCATGCATGTCAGAGTAGAACTGTGCTCCGACTCATGATAACCCCATGCATGTCAGAGTAGAACTGTACTCCATAGGGTTTTCAGTGAATGATTTTTTAGAAGTGGATCACCAGGCCTTTCTTCCTAGGCTCTTCTAGCTAGATTTGAACCTCCAACCAGCTGTGTTGATTGTTTGCACCACCCAGGGGCTCCCAAACTGTCTGTTCAAAAACGATAACAAAAAACCTTAATAAACCAGTTGATGTTGAGTTGATTCATGGTGTCCCCGTATGTGTGAAAATAGAACTGTCACAGGGTTTTCATTGCTGTGACCCTTTGGAAGCAAATTGACAGACCTTTGTTTTGAGATACTTCTGGGTGGATTCCAACGGCTACCTTTCAGTTAGTAGTTTAGCGCTTAACTGTATGCATCACCCAGGGGCTCCTAAATTGTCTATAGTTGTACTCAAGAAGCCTCTATTATTTTGGTATATTAGAGAACTGTTTAACTATCATCTGATGTACCCCGACTGCCAGAAATTTACTAATGTACTTGATAGTAGATGGGTGCAGACCTTTAGATCCTTAGAGAGCTGCTTTGTGGCTGTAGACCTCTGCCTAAAAGGTGCAGCATTGCCTGCTGCTTCCGTGGAGGCTGACTGACGGGTTTTATGTTAACTGGAGGTGTAACAACAAAAGCTTCTGGGTAGAATTTCTCCAGTTGTATATGGTTGACATTTTGTCACGTTTTCTGTTTGTGTGAGCCATAGAGGTACTCCCTTCCTTTCTTATTTAGGAGGTTAAGGCAGTAGAATCCATCACAATAATAGCAGTGTATTTACATGGCAATGCTGTGTGGATTTATAAATTGGATGCAGGACATATTGACCATCATATTCAAAAATTAACAGCATCTTCTTTTGCAGATGTTAGAGTAAAATTGATTTAAACCAAGATTTGGAGGTCAATAACGTAGAGACATTCTTGACCGTTTTATCATAATAAAGTGTCATGCTCTCTGTTGACCCTTTTCAGTTTAAACTGAGAGCTCCAGACTCATCAACATGTGTTTCCTGAACAAGCCAGTTCCACAGAAGATTCCTAGCTCCTCGTAGCTTGTTGCCTTCATTGCTTCACTTCACCACAGCGAAGTATGACCGGGCAAAAGGCTATAGATGACTAGTACTGACCCAACTGTGATTGCGAAAACCAGTTCAGGTGGTCAGGGTTTAATGTAGATATTAAAAAAAAAACAAAAAACCAGTTACCCTTGAGTGAACGCCGACTCACGGTGACCCCATGCGTGTCAGAATAGAACCATGCTCCATAAGATTTTCAATGGCCGATTTTTGGAAGTAGATGACCAGCACTTAACTTCTGAGGCACCTCTGGGTGGACTCAAACCTCCAACCTTTCGTTTAGCATCCGAGGGCATTAACTGTTTGTGCCACCCAGGGACTCTAGACATAAAGAAGCTCCTTTTGAATTACACACACACACAATATGAGAAGATTTCAGCGTTTTGTTTAACTTAATTTTAAGGAAATTGTTAAAATCCCAAATAATATTATTTTATTTCCAGATGATTGGGGGAGGGAGGAGGAGAACATTTTCGTTGTCTATCACAGTTTTTATTATTTTTGATGTTTCATCATGAAACTAGTACTTTTGACAAATAGTAAATGTGTTTTAAACATTTCTTTGTTTTTTTCTTATACAAACAGGTTGAAAGGATTGTTGACAAAAGGAAAAACAAGAAGGGAAAGACTGAATACCTGGTGCGGTGGAAAGGCTACGACAGTGAGGACGACACCTGGGAACCAGAGCAGCATCTTGTGAACTGCGAGGAGTACATCCATGACTTCAACAGACGCCACACAGAGAAGCAGAAAGAAAGCATACTAACCAGAACAAACAGGACCTCTCCAAACAATGCTAGGAAGCAGATTTCCAGATCCACGAACAGCAGCTTTTCTAAGACCTCTCCTAAATCACTTGTGATTGGCAAAGACCAGGAGTCAAAAAACAGCCAGTTATTTGCTGCCAGCCAGAAGTTCAGGAAAAACACAGCCCCATCTCTCTCTAACCGGAAGAATATGGACCTAGCAAAATCAGGTATAAAGATACTTGTGCCTAAGAGCCCCATTAAGAGCAGGACAGCAGTGGATGGCTTTCAGAATGAGAGCCCTGAGAAACTGGATCCCATAGAGCAGGGTCAGGAGGACACGGTGACCCCAGAAGTGGCTGCGGAGAAGCCGGTCGGAGCTCTTTTGGGCCCTGGTGCAGAGAGAGCTAGAATGGGAAGCCGGCCTCGGATACACCCACTAGTGCCTCAGGCGTCTGGCCCAGTGACAGCTGCTATGGCCACGGGACTCGCAGTTAACGGAAAAGGTGAGTGTTGTGAGCTGCTCAGCAGCAGCACCTGTGATGGCTATTTGTCCTCCAGCTTGCACGACACGAATCTCACAGGGGTGTGGGTGTACAACCCTTACGTACTGGTCCTGCAGTAGCTCCTATTGGTGAAAATGTGGGGATTCTGCCCATTCTGTTTGTAGCAGGTGTCTGTGGGTGCTTTTGGGAGATTTTGTTGCTAGCGTCTTCCTCCTTTACTTTAGGCCATTGACATTTATCCTCTTCAGTCAGCATTAACTTTCTCTTTCCAGCTTGCCATCCGCAGACTGTGCCACCACGTTGATGTGCTTTAAAAAGTGTCTCACTCTGAGTAGGTTACTGTTGGTATTTTCTTAACAGCACATTTCCTTCTGAAACTATCTACAATTATCCGAATCTTAGACGCTAACTAGCCTTACGTTTTCTAAGTGTGACCAGTATTGGATTAGAGATCATGCTCCTGATTTTGTTCATCCATTGTCTAACCAGAAATGCCTCTCCATGAGGTGATCGTACCTAATGGAGCCATCAGAGCCTTCAGGGGTCAGCTGTTCAGATCCCATGGTTCCTTTCTTCAGGGTAGGGGTCTTTGAACAATGGTGCTGTTTCCTATTTTGCTTTCATACCTGCCCTTCTTCCTGGATTCTGCATCTTGGTTGGTTATACTGTCACCAAGTGTACCACAGCGTCAACATAGACTGCTTCCTTCCTTCACTCTCTCATGCCTAACTACCTGCTTGTTTTACAGAATTCTATTACCTAATCAATGTCACTGAATAATTTGTGCAGAAATTGTTGAATGGGAACCTAAACTGCTGCGTAAACTTTCATTGAAACCACAATAAAATATTTTGTAAGAAAAGAATTCCATTACCTGTTTTTCTAACCCAAACCCACTGCTTCTACCACAGTTCAAGCCCTGATAATTTGCTATCTGTCGTGGATTTCTAATTAGCCTCCCTGCCTCCAGTCTTTTGACCACTGTTACCACTTTCTCTAATTCTTGGTGGAGTGGCAGGGATGTGCGGGGTTTGCCCAATTGCTGGTCTTGACTCCCCACCACTGCCTTAGTTATCAGGTGTGCTACTGGGTCTTCATTGCCCCCGCCCCCCACTTCTCTAGCTCTACCTCTACACGTCAACACACCTGCTGTCCGCTCTGTAGGGAGCACGTTGTCTCTTTTCCTGATGAGCTCTGATTCCTCCTTCTGGTGCCGGGACTCCTCTGCCCATGCCTTTTGCTCTGTTCTGCTCCTCTTGCCCTCTGTGATGCAGTATTGTAATTGCGTTTTCACCATGTGTGTCACCGTCAACCCAATAGTAGAATAATATAAAACAAAATCAAATCGTTTTGATTTGTTTGAGGGGATCTCTTGGCTCTAAGGAGGATTGTTCATTTGAGAGACTACTTTAACCATCTTGCTGTGGTGCATTTAATGAGTATTAAATTGGCTTAAGCTCTTGTACAGCAAAGAAGAGGGATGTAAATGAAATCTGGGCAGTAAATAACCATCTTTATTTTTCAGATATATGCTTTCCCAAATGCTGCTTCTCTTCCCTAGTCCAAGAGTTTTGCTCTCACCTGGACCATGTGAACTTGTTTACAGATTTGACTTCCCCTAGTGTCAACCGTTTCTCTTCTCATGTATGCAGTTTTTCTTACCTAGCTGTAGATGAAGGATCTTAGAAGTCCAGATGGAAGGGACTTTAGTAAGTCATCTGATAGCACTCTTTATCTTGCAGGTAAGGGAACTCAAGTCCAGATTCTGATGTTCCTAGAGAGGACCAGAGGCAGAGAGGGAAAGAATATGTTCCCCGTCACTACTCTGCTCTTCTTTCCGTCATTGCTTGCTGCCTCCAGAGACAAATAAGCATCTAAATCTTTATTGATTACTTAGGGCCATGCCGTGCTCTGGTGCTGCAAATGTAGACAAAACCAAGTCCTGACCCTCTGGGACAGGTGTTGGCAAACAGTTGCCAGTGGGCCAGATCCAGCCCACCACCTGTTTTTGTATGACCTGCAAACTAAGAGTGGTTTCCACATTTTTTTAATGTTTGAAAAAGAATCAAGAAGAATATTCCTTCGTGACACATGAAAAAATAAGAAATTCCGATTTCAGCATTCATAAATAAAGTTATATAGGAACACAGCCACTCTCATTCATACACTTATGGTCTGTGGCTGCTTGCCCAATCCAAGGGCATAGTTGAGCCGTGGCAGCAGAGACCGTGTCATCTGCCAAGCCTGAAATACTTACACTGGCTATTCACATAAAGCGCTTCCCCACGCTTGCTCTAGGAAGTCAGTCCTGGGACTTTTTTTTTTTCCCCCCCTTAATGTGGGGAACATGGAAGGCTTCAGGAAATCCATAGTCCCCTTCATTGTCCACAAAAGTTATGTGCACATGTATTTTTATAAGGGGAAAACCCAAAGTTTGATTTTCAAAACTTCCCTGACCAGCAAGGTTAAGAACCATAGTCCTTTTGTATAAACCAGAAATTCAAGATTCGATTGGCCCCAGCCAGGTCATCCTCTTGTGTCGTCACCCCCACTATGAGTCAGTTCTTTCAAAAGTAACCATTCCACTCTTGAGTATCCACATTCTGCTTTCCACCACATTTTGAAACACACTTTCCACAAAGACCTTCTGCTTTATATTTTGTATATAAAGAGGGTAATGACTTATATTTAAATAGAGTTGGTGACTTCCTTTTTTTATTACTCTTCTATAGCCGTTCCTTTGAAACCTTGTGGGGCAATTCTGTTCTGTCCTATAGGATCGCTGTGAGTTGGAATCTACTCGACGACAGTGGGTTTTTTTTTTCCAATATCAAAAATATTTAAATGTACCTAAGGGTGGCTGTGATTAAAACCAGAAGGGACACGTAAGCATAGAACCTGAAATTGTTGCCCTCTGCTTTGTGGAGTAATTATGTAGATGGGATGGGGGTGCCACTGTGCTTCCAAGGCCCTCATGATCATCCCTTCCCAGAAGCCCCGATGGTCTTGGCCCCTTGTGCTTGTGTCTCCTGCCCCGTGGGTGGTCAGATCCAGCCATGAAGGATACACACTTTCTACTTAAATAGGAGGAAACATAGAAGCCACTCAGGAGAGTTTTTAGGACAGTTGCGAGTGCCATCCCCTATGGCCGTGATCTAAATCAGGCTTGCAAATTAATGAGGAAGAGAACAGTACTTCCTCCCCCAGGAGCCTCCTCATCTTCGTGTCCTCGAAAGAAACACATGGCAAAAGCAAATGGTACCCCTAGACAACTTCCTCTCCTTCAGTATCTCAGGTGAATTAGACACTTTTGTTTGTTCCCTCCACTAGAATGGGAGCTCCAGGAAGGGAGTTTGCTTTGCCACGGCTACATCCCTCATGTCCAGAGCAGTGTCTGCCACACAGTAGGTGCCTGCAGCCGTGCAGACATTTGTGGGTGCAGAGACTGCAGTAGAACTTGTGCTTGCTGAAGATGGGCTGCAGTGTGTCCTCCTCTGTAGCCCTTTCGCAGGCTCAGACTAGACTGGAGGAAGGGAAGACTAGCTGTGGAAATGGCAGAGAAGGTGGGTCAGAAACAGAAGCATTCCAGAAAAACCACTTACCCATACTCGGGTGTATCTTTCCTGAATGAAGAGATGAAGTACTGAAGCTGTGTTAGATTGTTGGCTCACACTCATAAATTTTAAAGCAGTTGTTTGTTTGTATTTTCCAGATTAATTTTAGAGCTGCGTAAGAGAACTGATTTGTTTTTCTAAAACTAATTGAATCAGATACTTACGGAGTCCCTGGGAAGTGAACCATCTCCTGTTCAGCACATTAATCATGTGTGAATGATGAGGAATATTTTTGCTACCAAAAACAACAGATATTTGATTATCCATTAACCAAACGAGTGAATGTTTCTGGAACATTCCAACACACATAGGATTACTTTTGCAGAATAACCATATGCGTGTTTAAATTTTAACTATTTTAAGTATGGAACAAAGGTTTGGAGGGTGAATATATTGCTTTAGTCAGAAGTGTGAGAAACTTATAAATTAGGCAATGCAGCTTGTCTTCTTTACACTGTTCTTTTTCCAGTACATTGATGTTTTCCTGTTCTTTTAGTTGCCTCATGAATTCTACAAAAGAAGCAACTGCCTTTAAAAACTGGATTATCATTATTTTGTTCTTTTATGAATTCAGAAGTATAATTGATCCTCATTCCACAAATACAACATTTGAGAAAATGCTAGTAGCAAATTTACAAACAGATTAGCTTGAAATTTTATCAGTGTTTTCATGTAGGCATGGCTGCTAGGTGTTCAAGGAGAAGCCGGCACACCCAATCCTCATTAAAGAGGAGGCTCATTAGGAAAATGACTGAGGAAGTACCACACCACATCTAACTACCTACCTTCTTCCAGTGGCCATTACTATTAAAGGAAGCTCCTGGGAGAAATTGTTCAGGAAAACATGGCCTCTGAGGAACTGTAGTACAGTTTCCTCTTCACAATGAGGATGTGAAACAGATGATCTATCTCCTTTTATCTGTGATTACCCGGGAAGTTTAAGTGCCAAATCTACAGCTCTCTTCTAGAAATAGACTCCTAGGGCCATTTATCATTTAAGTGCTGAAATTAGAAACTAACCCCAGGAAGGTTAAGAAGTCATGAGACCATTGGCCAAAGGCAGTGGCTGTTAAGGCCAAAAATCCAAAAACCAAACCCATTACCATCAAGTTGATTCCTACTCATAGCGACCCTATAGGACAGAGTAGAACTGCCCCATAGGGTTTCCGAGGCTGTAATCTTTATGTAAGCAGACTGCCACACCTTTCTCTCACAGAGCAGCTGGTGAGTTCGAATCGCCAAACTTCCGGTTAGCAGCCGAGCGCTTAACCACTGTGCCATCAGGGCTCCTCTGTTAAGGCCACAGCAGGAAAATGTCAACCTGCATAAAGGAAGTTTGAAGCCAAGTTACAGCAATTAATTAAACGTATGTATGAGGGTTTGATC